TGCAGATGGCTGGCTTTCCCGTGTCTTCACATGAGTTTCCTCCCTGGATGTAGCTGTGTCTAAATTTTCTCTTAAAAGCACACCAGTCATTTTGGATTAGGGCCCACCTTAATGATCTCATTTTACCTTAATTAACTCTTCTGCAATGACCCTGCTTGGGTCACATTCTAAGGTACCGGGATTTAGGACTTCAACATATGAATTCCTGTGGGAGGGGGATGTCAGCTGACACAGTTCAGCCTGCAATACCGCCGAGTGATCCTCCTAAGGTCATAGTCGGCCAGGTTACGTGCGCAGGTGTCAGCACTCCATGCACCACAGCCTGGGCTCAGGGCAGAGCTCTTCCTGCACTTGGCCCTCCCCAGAGCGGGCAGCTTTTTATTTCGCCCAGGACACAGATCTGAGCAGCCCTCCCAGATGTGTCATACGCTGCCTCCAAAACCTAAAGAAGCTTCCAAGGTACGGTGCTTCTTTCTTCACAGCAGGAGGTGCAGGATTCAGTGATTTGTCCTGAATGCCCCTCATCCCTGACTCTTGGAAATTTCACTGATGTGGCAAGCCCCTGAATCACTGTAAGGTTTATCTCCCATCCTCTGGAGTGCGTGTGTTTTACCCAGGCCTCTGATGTGCTAGCCACTTCTTGCTCATCCAGTTTGATTAGATGCCACCATCAGCGATGTAGTAGATTGAATGAGGTTCTACAAATCTTCTAAATGGTCCAGATCTCTTCCTACTTTAATTATGACAAAGGGCAGGTGGGTCAACATTAGCCCTGGGGCAAAACTGTAAATGTACACATTGTTTGTTTCATGTGAAATTAGTGCTTTTCGGATAGAAAATGCACTGGCAAAATCAGTTTCTGTACACCATTTGCTTCAGTCTAAGTGATTGTGTCCTAACAAAGATATAAAAATATATCTGGCACAGCAGATGGCAATCAGTACTAATCCTCAGTTGAGTTTAGAGGAGTCTACTCTCATTTTCTAGGGTCCACCAGGACTTTTCAATGGCAAGGCTTGTAAGTTAAATAAATGATGGGCCACAACCTCTGCCTCCTCTAGATATTTAACAGCGATGCTAAATTCTGCTGCCCCTCCTGGGACATGATACCATTATTTACTACAGTGGCCGAGGGGAAGAGGAAACGGTTTTAGAGGCTTCCATTTCTCCTCTTCACTATAATACCTCTTGCCTCTCAGGCCAAGAATACTCTAAAATATGCCCATTCTGATATTGGGTGCCAGGAAAAATTATGTACCAGGAAAATGACCCATTGTGACCCAAATCCCGACTGAAGCTGCATTTATTACCTGGTCCTCATGTACCCCATTACCTGGTTCTCATGTTCTTGGAAGCAATGTGGATTTGGACTCCCCAGAGTCCTTGAAATGCACCACCTCCGTTTCCCCCAGTGCACTGTTATCTGAGCAAACGGTGCTGGCACTGTTATCAACGGGAATCTGGCCATGGTACTGCAGGCCCTTCCTCCTGGAGAGTGGTTCTCTTCTTCAGTCAATGGGTTCTGGGTCTGAAACCAGCTCAGACATGGAAACCAGACCAAGGGAATGTGAATTTTGATAGGACCATGCCTGCGTGCCTCCTCATTGTCACTCCTGATTGCTTTTAGTAGAGCTGAGCGGCTCCCTGCCAGCTATTTTGCCCCGAGAGATTCATTGCTTTACTAACCTCTTCTGTACCTACGAGCCAGCAGCAGCCCTCCCTCGACTCCCGAGACACAGTGCCTCATCACAGCCATTGTGCTCCCCTGGCTTCTGGTGGTTCTGCGTGGCCTCTGTTGTTTTGGAATTGTACCATCCCGATAGCCATGAGGGAGCCGAGTTCTGCAGCAGCCTCTCCTGTCATTGGCTCTGGCTTGGACTTCATGGTTGCTGATGTCCCTTTCACTGGGATAATCACCCATCTCCTGGGGTCCATGTTAGTGTGCCAAATCTGCAATTCCAGGAGCGCACGCGCAAATTGACCAGCTCTCTTTTATTCAACACTGCATATCAGTCCCCTGGATAAAACACCCTCAGATTCCCACCCAGCGCAGTTTCCTGGCTTCTGCTGGTCCATGCTGGCTGGGACTTAACAGCTCCTGGGGGATACAGTGTTTCCCTCCCCCGACATCGGGCTCAGAACATCCCAATGGGTTTCACTGATATTTCAGCCTAGCTATAGGCTAAGTGACTAGGAGGGAAGGTGAGGTAAATTCAGCGGGGCATGTGGCAACAGCCCCTGCAGGAAGCCTTTGTACCATCATCTCCAAGCTACTTCTGCACATTCAGGGGAATCTCGATATTCAAATTCTTCCCCTGGTTTCAGCTGGTGATTAACTATTCATATATTTAAACTTTTTTCCAGAGCATTGACCAATTTTAGCGATGGCTACCCAATTCCATTGTCCTTATAGTTATGATTTACTGCATATTTCTTAAAGGGCTGATATGCTGCAGGGGCTAGTATGCCATCCCAGTTCATGACCAGTGAATGTTTTAAAAATTGGACTGTCACTTCATGATGGGGCCGTGTTCCACCTACCACCAGTGATGGGGGAAAGTGATGAGTGATTCAGCTGTAATCCCCATTCCTGGTACTAACTAACCATTGCAGGCTGACTCTACAGAAGCAGATCTGAGATAAGGACTTAGCAGGCAGGATGCTTATTAAGGAACGTTCTTGGGATTAATACTGGTGGGACTCATGCCTGAGGAAGGAAGTATCTGTGGGCAAAGGGAGAAGTCCAGCTGTCCCAAAGGCGTAGTGACAGCATCAGCTAGGCTCAGAGCTCAGATCAACCTGGCCCTTCAGAGTTGTCGCATGTTTAGCTGAGACCGCCAGGCCTTTATGTGATGACTCTGATCAGTCACAGAATGTAAACTTTCCCAAAAAGGAAGAGACTTTGGGTGAGGTGGCCCTGTGAAGGGGCAGACAGCTGAAAGCCACTATTGCAGAGATCCCAGCAGCTGCAGCAACCAGTCTCTCACTGAAGGGAAGGTGGGCCGTGGACCACACTCTGTGGTCCACCACAAAGAAATATGTTTTAACAGTAAAAAATAAACCTTTGCCACCGAGAACACTGAGATTTGGGGGATGCTTGTTACCACCATATCATGTAGCCCATCCTGAGTGAAACACCTGACTTCATGTGAAACGAGGGGAAGAAAATAAAGAGGAACCCGTCCAGAAGCACACGCATGTTCATTTTCAAACACGTTGATTCAACAGTCATTCCGAGCATACTCAGGTGGGTGAGTGAGGTGGATAATTTTGTTTATAAGAAACTTTGGTTAGCTTTCACCAAATCCACTGGCTCAGGCCTGAGTCTGCGGACAGTCACTGGGCCTGGAGGGAGGCCCAAATGAGGACAGCAAGGTGGGCCACAGGGCCGGGAGGGGACAGCTTTCTGGGGGAAAAGCCAAGTGTTAAAATCAAATTAAATAAAAACTCAGTTTCTCAGCCACACTAACCCCATCATCAGCGCTCAATAGTGACACGTGGTTGGTGGCTACCATACAGCACAAATCCAGAGCAAGTCCCTTGTCATGGAAAGTTGCATCTAACAGTGCTAAAGGATTTAAGGTTAGTCACTGCATGAGGAAGTGGGAAAATGCCTGACCCTTACCGCCCAAGACTTCATCAGAGGTTTTCCCAAATTTGACAACAATCCTATTTAAATGACATTACCAATAATGACTTGTGAAAACGGAAACGTCTAGTCTATGATTTTTGCCCCATATACACGTTAGAGGAGGAACTTGAATATCACTCTCTTTAGCAACCAACACAAAATTGTCTTAAGAAGGAAGAGATGATTAAAGAGTATGCAGGGTTGGGTGTGGTGGCTCACCCCTGTAATCTCAACATTTTGGGAGGCCAAGGTGGGAGAATTGCTTGAACCCAGGAATTTGAGACCAGCCTGGGCAAGAGAGCAAGACCTCATCTCCAAAGAAAGTAAAAAAAATTAGCTGAGTGAGTGGCATGACCTGTTGGTCCCAGCTGCTAAGAAGGTTGAGGCAGGAGAATCCTCTGAGTACAAGAGGTTGAGGCTGCCGTGAGCTATGTTTGCACCACTGCACTCCAGCCTGGATGACAGAGCAAGACCCTGTCTCCAAAAAAGAAAAAAAAAGTATGTAGGTTAAGAAAAAAAAGAGGAGGATGGAAAAGGTGTCACAAAGGTGCCAGGAAGTTAATAAAAATACTTATCGGTATTTTGTAGAGTGTGTTATGCCAAGTTTTAAATATTTTAATTTCTGCCTTTAAAAATTCTAAATAAATATGTGCTTTCATAGTTAACTCAGCATTTGCAATTTGTATTCCTTAAGAAAACTACCCCCTTTCTCCCCAATAAACAACTAGACATGTTTCAGTTCCCGTTAAATCTTATCTGCCTTGGATAGAAATGATTTTAAAAAGTAATTATGGTTTTAAGGCAAAGCCATTGGCAGTACTCTTTCCTTTTTTTCCTACTTAAATTGGAATCATTCCACATCTGCACTGGGTTGAATAGTGTTCCTCTAAAATTCATGTCCACCGCGACTGGCTGTAACCTTATTTGGGAATAGGGTCTTTACAGATGTAATCAAATTAAGATGAGGTCATCCTGCATTAGAGTGGGTGTTAAATCCAGTAACTGGTGTCCTTATATAAGGAAAGGGACATCTGGACACAGACACACAGAGGGAAGAAGGCTACTGACAGACACAAAACCTGGGGTGATGCAGCCACATGCTGAGGAAGGCTGAGGGTGGCTGGCAGCCACACCAGCTGGAGCAGGCAGATGAGTCTTCCTAGGGCCTTCAGAGAAAGCCCGGCCTTACTAGCACACTGGCTTTGGATGTCTCATGTCCAGAAATGTGAGTGAAGAAAACGGTTTGATTTATTGTGAAAAGCTGCCAGTCACATCCCTATGACACTAACACCACAGCCTAGGCACTGATTTGACCTAATTTCTCATTAGTCTAGCCTATTACTTAGGTGTGATTATTTATTAAAGAACATTTACAACACTGTACGTTTTATTGAGTTCAAATATCACATATTAGATATACAATACCAATTAATTGAAATGAACAGTACAAGAATACATGAAGTAAATATCGTAACATTTAAGTTTGGTCTCATTTAAGCAACAAGAAATGCTGAGTATTACTATTACGTCTTCAAACCAGACTTAAACTTAGGAATCATGAGGCCAGATGAGTGACCCCTATCACAGGATATGACAACACACTGCCTATCTCCAAACAGGAAAAAGCATGGTTATTACGTTTATGTATACCAGCCTATTTATTCAAATTTGCTCTAATTAAATAGAATAAAAAGTACACATTCAATTCTTAATTGGTATAACCATTTCACAACGCTAAAATTAAGATGCTAATGACACCACTCTCCACTAGCATGAAAGAACAATATATGAATAGAGTACACAGCTTTCCAACCTATCTACTAACAGGTGCTTTTTTTTTTTTTCAGAATTGCGTGGAAAATTGTGTGTGGGGTAAATAGCATGAGAGAGAAGTTGATCACTGGTTGAACTGTTTGTAGTACAAAAGGTGACAAAACTATTAATGTATGGTAAATAATGAAGGTCCCAATGGAATTTTTTAAGAAAAATGATCTCTGAAAAGCAAAAGGTTAGAGATATTCATGTTGGAAACTCCATTCCTTTAAAGGTCACATGTGCCAACCAATTCAGACCCATGACAGCAAAATTCTCAGAGTTCTCTATTATGGTCAGGGCCAATCCTCCGCCTTGGGGGCTGTCATAGTACCCAGGGAGCGTCAGGTGCCTCTCCCAGCCCTTCCCTGCTCTGAGTGACTGAGAGAGGCTTCCTTTGCCGCAGGGCTGTAGGCAGGTGCTTATGCTCCTGAGTGCTTGAAGGTCCAGGCCCGCCCCTCTCTAGAGGAAAAACCTACTCATTTGGAGACTACAAACCTCTTCTAGCAGCTATAACCTGAAATGCTAGAATGAGCTTATATTAATCATGCTTTTTTTTTTTTTTTTTTTTTTTTTTACAATGTATAATGTTTTTACATCTTGGGAACCTCGCTGACTGGGGAGAGACTGCCCTTCCCAGGTAAGCCAATTCTTAGAGCAAAGGGCTCCCTTGGGAGCGCACCTTTGCACACTAACCAATTCAGAGCCTGTCCTCTGAGCCAACTCCTCGATCTGACTCTTCTACCCAAAAGGCAGCATCCCCTTGTCCTCATCATCCAGGGCCAGGCACCAGACAGCTGGAGGTCACCTCTATAGCTACAGCCCAAGACATTCAAACCTTCCAATCCTAAACTCTGCCCCTGCCCAGCTGCGCCTTTGCCATGGAGACACAATGGAAAGATGCCTGCCTGTGCTTGTCCCTAGTTCTGCCTCCTGACCACTCCTGTGGCTCCTCCTCCTGCGGCCCTGCATGGCATGGCGCACTCTTTTCCTCCAGAAACGCAAGTAACAAACTTTTCTTCCAGTGCATCAGCCTCTCCTTTATGAATTAAACATGTGGGTGCCAGGAAGCGGAGGTTGCGGTGAGCCGAGATCGCGTCCTGGGTAACAAGAGCAAAACTCTGTCTCAAAAAAAAAAAAATGTGGGTGCATTTTGATACCACTGGCACAGTGAGCAGGTGAGTCCATGTGTGGCAGAGCACATGCCTCGCCTCTTGGCCACGTGTGGCTTACTAGCTGGATCCACCCTGGGGAGCATGGCCACTGCTGGCATGTTTGCACTTTGGCTGCAGCACGTGGGCTATGTCTGCCAGAGTGTCTGTGACAGTCCAGCCTAAATTATAAGAGGACTGAGCTCATTTAGTCCTTGGTGCTGCAGATTAGGGTGATGTCAATCATAGTCCCCGATGCAGAACCTTCTGGGACGTATAATTGGATGCACTGGGTCCCTCTGAATTCCCTACCTGGACATACCTACTTGCTTGGCTGGTAGTCACAGGGCAGTGAGGCTAACTCCCTCCAAAAGGAGCAAGGAACTGCTTTCCCTGTGAGCTTGTGTTGGATGAGCGTCTGATAACCGAGCCAGCAATGCTGAAGTCGGTAATGGGCTGCTCACCTGCAGGGCCCTCCTCTGGCATCCAGTGAGGAATTAATTGCACTACTGGGAAAAGGATCTGGCTATTGGTCTCCAAGTGCTTCAGGGATCCTCCAGCCATGCGGCTGGTGAGAGATGCCCTCCCCACAGAATGACGGCAGCCAAAAGGTTTAAATGTTGCTTTAAGAGCCCTGCAGCTATCGTGACCTGTTTCTCCATCCAGTGGGACACAAAGGATCTATCCACAGAGACCAGTGGCTCAAGGTTTAAAGAAAGGGGAAGGGGTGGGGCGCTTTGTCCCCACTCCCCTGAGACCTGCAGCAGCCCCTGAGCTATGTGAGCCTGTAACCCCGCCAAGGCCAGTGTGTTTTCGCACTCCTGAACTCCCTGCCTCTCAACTAAATAGCCACAAAATCAGAAAAAAAAAAAAAAGAAAAGCAAGAAAAACCCTAGGTACAAGGGGAGAAAAGGAAAGGTAACTAAATAGACTGTGTGTGTATGAGTGTGTGCGCATCTATATAGACACACACACATATAGATAGAATATTTTAATGCAAATATAGAATAAATTATACATGTATTGTACATACACAACTAAACTAAAATGGAGATCCTTTATCTGATCCAGTTAGATATCCAACACTTAGGCACTCAAAATTTATGCAACAAATTATATATTAATATTACATATAAATAAGATTTATATACTAAAAAATTGACATGACCAAAAGCTAAAAGGGTGCCTATTGGCTTTTGAGTCTCCATAACTTAGGTTCTAAATTAACTGTAACATTTGCTAAAATGCACCCATTAAAGCTTCATAGTCTTAATACTGGGGCTCAAATTATAGTTATACCTGGAGATCCCACTAAATCTAAACACTGTACCCCTATAAGCTTTTAAAGAAGGCAATCAAACATAAAATAGGGGAAAAGAAGGTATGCTTCACTTTAACTGTAGCCTGTCTAAATTTCCCGTGGTCATAGTACCCGGTGCCCTAATAACCAATATTGGACACAGATACTCTAATATAACAAATAATAAATTAAAATTAAAATCAGTCTTTGGCACTTACAAACTAGCTTGATAAACAATGTCCCTGAACCTCCAGTTAAAACAGTTAATATGAGGCCTTCAAGGATTAAAACGTACTAACTAATAAAGGAGTAATTATACCCATTGCCTCTCCATTGAATTTTTTCTATCCTTAAACCTGGAAAAAAAAAAGGGGGTGCCTCATGGTGGACTACTACAACCTTATTGCTGTGGTCCCATCTATTACCCAATTTCCAGTATTATTAAAATTAAGAATTCTATGCTATAAATAACTGGCCAACATCTTGCTCTTCCAGACTTGGCTAACATGTCCCATCAAGTGCCTGCCTGCACAGCTTCTCGGCTGCAGTTTGCCTCCTGCTCTGAAGTGACACATAGACCTTTGCAGGCCACCCACAAGGAGCTCCACAGCTTTGCCATGGCACACAATCTCTGCAGACAAGGTCTATACCACATTCACCTTCTCCAGTAGCACGAATGAGGAGATTCATCATCACGCTCATTAGGGACATGCAAGACCAACATATTTAAATACTTTTGAGGTTCTGATGGCAATGTAGTCCTCATTTACACAGTCTACTTAATTTTCTTGTTGCTGCTTACAAATCAGCTTGCTTTAAATGGTGCTCCCTGTGAAAACAACCTCTAAAATCAAACAAAATTCAAATCCATGGGCACTCCTGTTGGTACCCTCAGAGGCCCCTTCATTATGGAAACACTGGCAAGCTCTACACAGGCCTGGAGTTCTGGCCCACTTAGGATGGACATAGGTGCCCAAGGGCTTCAGATGCAAGAAACTGCCCCTCTCAGACTCATGCTATACCCCATTAAAACAGTAAATGGCTGGGTGCCTGCTGGGCTCTCCTGAACACAGAGGCTCATAGAGACCTGAGCCTAGGACCCCAATCTCTAGTTGCCCATCATAAGCACCCGACAAGCTCAGCAAAACTCCTGATGCCTCCTTAACACAGGACGGATCCAAGTCTGGGCCCTCTGATACATTCTATCCTCAAGAGGGTGGTCTCCCATGTCCTCAGTCCCTTGTGAGGTCATCCTCCCCCAGATCCCTTGGGGTCCCTTAGATTAACTGAGTGAACAGCACTGGGAGTTCACAGACAGTACAGATGGCATTGCCAACCCTCATATAAATGATGGAGCCCAATAGAATGTTGCTGCTTTCCATCCTTTAGCCAGGATTCCCTGATACAAAATGGAACCCAAAAAGCAACGCATATGGCCAATGTCAGGCAGTGGTCTTAACGCTGGATGCCCTGGTCAGCACAGGGCCCCAACTTCACATTTATGGCTGACTGTTGGACCACTGCTCAAGAGTTGCCCCCTTCAGGGTTAAAAACTCTGGGACTCTTCCTCACAGATACCAAAACCTAAATCTAAATCACACCTGTTCCCATGTGCTACAGCTGGGATACAAGGTCTTGCCGTGGCACTCCTTGCCTCTTCAGGGTGGCTGGCATCACTGAAAGTAACTGAGACACACATGCCATGTCTCAGAATCCACCATACTGGGCTCTGGGAAAAGGCATTCGTCACAACTTCCACAGCCCTGACAGGTTCCACACAACCGGTTTAACTAAGAGATATAATGTCTCCTCAAAGAGCTCCATTTCAAACTCTGGTCTGCAAAGAGACCCTGAAATGGGCCTCTATCTTGCACCACAAACCTTAATCTCTCTTAATTTATGGCCTCTTGGCTGACTCACACCTCACACAAACTTTAAAAAACATTACTATAGTCCCCTTTAAACAAAAAGAGGACTATGTCTTACTTTCTTGTATACAAAAGCTCATCACATATTAGGGCCTTTCATAATGTTTCTCCTTATTCCTATAAATTTTGGATCTTGTCCCCACCTGATAAGTGCTAGAGACCAGAGAGAGAATATGTTCTCTCCTGAATCCATTAACCGCCAGGGATCCCACAGGCCAGGCAGCTGCTCATCTGATACGGAGCCCACTTGAACCTAAACTTCCACCAAAAAGGAAGAATCAAAGCCCTGTCAGGTGCAGCTGTACACATTCTGGTGTCTATTGATCCTGTCACCACTGATCTGGGGGCTTTCACTGGTTTATGATCCAGAGGCCCAGACCCTCCAGGTAAGCCACCGTTTCAACCAAGTGCTGGGAACCACATTAGCACGAGTAGGGATCCGCTTAACAGGAGACCTCATGTCTCACATCCCGGAAGACATTGCCCAGCCCAGCAGCTCATGGCTGAAGATGACATGACCCCAGCCGTGGCCTCACCATGGGAGATGACTTAGTCCCAGATATTCAAACCTCTGCCCTAGTGATGCCCATAGGCTGCCTCTCCTGAGGCACCAAGTGGGCATATGACATTTTTGTTGTTCTTCCTTTTAATATTGAAGAGTCCAGCTGGCCTCCCATCTGCTTAGCCCATGATCCTGATACATACCCTGCTTTATGCCAAAACATGGCTCCCTAAACTCCCATGTCTAAATGAAAACTCTGGAAGAAGTGACTACTATCTGTGCCATTGTAAAACTTAAGGGAGTGTCTTGATTTCCCAGGAGGTAACTGCCTCCTATCAGTCAACTCCTCAACCCCTAGGGGAGGAGCACCCACTCCCAGGGCCTTCTCCTACCACCCCAGCTGGCTTTCCACATGACCTCCTGCCCTGTGCCTCCATAGCCACTCCCTCCCTGTGGTGATACATGAACACCACGAGTCTCTGCATATCCTTTACTGAACTATCGCTGTGCACCCCCAACCACACAACTGCCAGACCTGCCACCCCAAGCCAAGAAACACCGTAATATCATCACCAGACTCGTATGTTTAACACGTTAACAAGTGCACCAGGAAATTGTTAGAGGCCCCCCCCCCAAATTGCAGAACTATGTTCTTGACTAATGCCATATACATGAGAGCCTTAGCTATGGGCCAGCCTAAGGGACTCCTGTATTTCCATGTGTGTTCCTCCTTCCTACTCTCAGAATAAAACGTTTTCTATGCTTTTTAAGGCAATGCCCTACTCTTTAAAAGCTTTTGCTTCCAAAAGTGACCTCAGTATCTCAAAACAGCAGAGGACCAATTGTGTTAGTCGTGATTTCTATATTTTTTGATATTTTGACATCTCAGGGGCCTCGCTGACCCAGGAGAAACTGCCTGTCCCAGGGTGAGTCAATTCTTAGACATAGCAAAGTGCTATCCTGGGAGCAAAGTAACCAATCCAGAGCCCATCCTCCAAACTGCCTTCTCTATCTGGCTCTTATAAACTAGGAGGCAATATCCCCAACCCTGATCACCCAGGGCCAGATGCCAGATGGCTACAGACCACCCATATAGCCTAGAGTCTGAGCTGTTACTTAAATCAGACAGTCTAAGCTGTTTGCCTGCCCTGCCTGTCCTGCAGAACAACACAGTAGAGGGTCTGAGCCACACTCGCCCTCATCCCTGCTTCTGCCTGTCTCCCGTGCTTCTCTGCATGCCCTGGTGTGGTCTGCTGCCTCTCATTCTCTCATGTCTACAGGAATTGTGAGAAACAGTAAACACTATCCATGGCATCCACCTCTCTGTGTCCTCATCCAGTCACCTTTATCAGACCTGGGTGCAAATTAGAGCTAACATCCCCAACTTGGGGAAGTGCAATGGGGGCACTTCAATTTCTTCATTATTTGTGCTCTCCTAAAAGCTGAGCTACTGCTAAAAGACTATTTTATAAAATTCAGCAGTTGAGAAGTGAAAGTCAAGGTGAGGCTGAGGTGAGGAGTTGTAAAGGGAAAAAGACTTTCCCCTGGGAGTCAGAGCTAGTGCACCGAATGAAGTGTCTCACCCTAGAAGAGAGGGGGTGATGCTGGCAAAGGGGTTCAGTTATCTCCCTGCGTGGGTGATGGCTCACACAGCTGATCCTTCCTATCCAGAGCCAGCTTCCCTGGGAATTAGGTTTTGGTGAACAACAGAATTAGAATGTGGCCTTCAGGAAGGTGTTGAAGGGGAAGAACTCCTTCCACTGGCTGCCACTGCTGTCTATGCTAAAAAGTGGGGAGATAGGGACCTCCCTACTCGACTTGATAGCGATACTGGGGAAAAATAAAACTTTGTGCTGTCAACTAAAAGAAATCACCCACATTTATTTTCTCCTAATTTGTTTCTAATTACCTTTCTTCTTCATATCTTTCACACGTCTTCTTATTTGATAGACAGTATTTAAATTTTGAAGAGTAGCATTTACCCAAGTAATTTAAGCAGTGGGGCACAAAAGAAGACAAGGATAGGAAACAGATGGGTATTTTTTTAAAGCACTTAAAAATTATAACAAATTCTATGTAATATAGGCAATGGATTATTTTGATGGTAGCAACTGCCAATTTTCCAGAAAGTTTATAATGAAGTGATAATGCCAATAGTTCATTGTAATTCTACCATCCATAAACTGCAATTGTTCCTTATTATTCAGAAGTCCCGTGGTAAGACTTGACATATGTTAGGAGTTGTATAATTTGTTAAACAGTCTTGGTGTTTTTTGTTTTTGAGGGGGAAGAGGTTTAAGTGCAAAAATGACACATTTGTGACCCTATAAATGAGATAATACTGTTGAATTTGGTATATGAATTGGTTAAGAATTATTGTGTTTCTATGGATAAACCTTAACATTTTAGGTAAACCTTAACATTTTGAATTCTTTTGAAAATTTAAAAAGTATCCTAACTTTCAATTCTGAAGATGAGGACACACATAGGAGATGGGATATGATAAAAAGGCCATGGGGCTTTTGGAAGGCTGCCTTTGGGAACTTACTTGAATTTCAAAGACACAGGCAGGTTTGCGCAATGAATGGAAAAATACTGAACAGCAGGTATTATTCCTCAAGAAGAAAAATGACTCCCCCACTCGGCTATTACTCTTTTTTGCTTTTATTCCAATGTAACTAGAGCATGACTGTTGGAGCACTTTCAGTTCAATTAAGCTGGAATGTCCTGATTTTGAATGAGAAATTACATTATTTTCCGAGAAATGCTTAGAATTGGCATCTCCCTGACAGAAAAGGGGCAGAAGGGGGCAGGCAGAGGAGGAAGCAGACGTTCTGCTTTGGCTTGATTGGTAGCAAACTGAAGCTGGGGGTTGTTTTGCTTTTCGGTTTGTAAAAGGAGGCTTCCTTCACGACATGACCATAGGACGCAGTCACCCTGACTCTGTTCCTGATGCGTAATGTTTCTAAGTGCTCAGTAAGTACCAATCTACTCCCACGCTGCAGCATGTGGGGGTGGAATGCTGAACAGAGAGAGCATGATGTGATCATAGTTAATTCCCTCTGGTATCAAAAAATAAAAGCATGTGTTGCTCTCATCTGCGTCATCATTGTTGTTCAGGCTTTTACATAATGACACGCAGAATGAGAAGACCAGAAAGGCAGGCAGAATCATGAAGAAATAACTGAATAGTTCTGATTCCAAGAACTGTGTGACATGACATTTAAAGAGTAAGCAAGAGAAAGCAACAGGTTCCAAATGTTATAGCAAGTGTACCAAGTTAACTCTAGGAAGGCTTGAGAAGCTGTGATCACATTGTGGTTATTTAGACACTTCCAAATGGAAACAGCAATGATAACTATTCGGCTGTGATATGAAGGTACAAAAAGACTTTCCAAAAGAGGAAGGCAGAGAATGGTCAATGCAGATCAATTTTCATGAACCACTTCTGGTTAAGGTCTTCTGGCATGTGAGCTGCATTTTGTTTCCTTTTAAATGACAGGGTTAGGTTATGATGCCTAAGAAAGTTCAATACTATTGTTAATGCATAAATTAATAAAATCTCTTAGAAATCACTTGGCCAAACTGCCATTAAACCATCTCAAGATGATAGTTGAGATTCACAATAAGTGAGGCACTTGAAACACTGGATTGGAAAAGACTTTCACATTTTCTCTTTATAGTTAAGTGACGCTGTTATTTTCTAACTCTCACGACAAGACTAAGTTTTATCTACTGAAAACTACAAGAAAAATTAATAATATTATAAAGTCTTTTTAATAAAATGCTTGATGGACTGATAACCATCAACACTGTATATTATGAGATATATATTTAAAAACTGAAACATCACACACACCTTCAATGAACAAAGCAAAACTTGCAGCTGTGATATGCTCTTTAGCGGTTGTGACCCTCTGGTTAATAATGTCCACCTTGCAGATGAGGAAGCCAAGTCAATGCACCAGCTGGTTAGGCCAGAGAGAACATATGAGTATCTCAGATTCAGTTATTCCAATCAGTATCACCAATGTGCATTACAGGATGGAAGTTATACTACTGTCCTTTAACAGATAACACATGGTCTGATCGCTGTAAAACTTTCTTTCAAAAATATAATCTTAGGTTGGTGTTGGAGAAAAACTTGCTGAATATTTACATCTCATACCGTTCATCTCCCTTCGTATATTCTGATCTATTTTCCTGAAATAGACGGATTATCATGGCATGACAGACTGTTAATGTTTTTGTGTATTAATAAATGGACAGTAAACTGAAATTTACTGATGAAGCTAATTGCTAATGCAAATCCCAGTAGAAAAGATGACTGTTTTCTAAATGCTTACTAACCATTGGTCAGAGAGACAAGGTTCTACTTTCAAGGCATTCTTTGCACTTGGTGGTTTTATGTTTGACACCCCAATGTATATACAATTTTAACTCACTTTTGCTCACTTTACTCTGTGTGTGTGTGTGTGTGTGTATATATATATACACGTGTATAAGTATATATATATATATATATATATATCTCCTCAAGTAAACTATACTGTTCTTAGGTTTTCCTATATCCAAGGTACACTTTCTTATATTTTGACATTCATTTGATTACAACATGCAATTTACAACACCTGGGACTACAACAGGACATTAAACACAGTTCTACCCGGTGGCTACTACTTCTTGGGTAAGGACTAGTTTGGGCTCCCACACTGAACAATGGTGTGATGATTCAATTTCACATCACAGATAACTTCACAGCAACACACAAAGCCTAAGCGTCGTTTTAGTTAGCCTGTGCTCTAAGAAATCCACTTCCAGATAAAAACGTACTTCCCCCTATTGTCTAGACACATAAGCATGCCTTTTCCATCTGGCAGAGCAAGATACTGACTTGGAAGGGAATCCTTCTTTCTCGTGAAACCTAAACCACATGTAAACCATCTGCAGGGTCCTGTGCTGTCAATGAATTGCATTCCCCAAGCATCTGCCTCCAAGAGATTTTCTTAGGTTGTTTTCCAACTATGGGCTCCTTTCAGACTTCAGGCTAACCTTGTACAAGGTCAGATCCCACCAGACACAGAATTGTCATTTTTGAGGAGGACTCAATATTTGGCAAATGTTCCATTTTGGAACCTTATCCACAAGCACTTGACAAAGCACAATGAATGGACAGCTATTCGTCCATGCCTGACATTTATAAAAGTACAAGGGCTTCCAGAAACCTTAACACAGAGAAAAAAATCAATTATTTCTCTGCCTGGCATTTGCCAGCTCCTGCCGACTATTCATCTTACGCGTGATGATGACTAATATCCGTCGGATGGCAAGGAGCCGCTCTTTGAGCGAGGTCATGCCGAGGATGGCCAGCTGAGCCTTGCGCTCCAGGGGCAGCACGGCCAGGATCCACCAGGACCAGGCAGGGCCACTGGGATTACTCTGTAGAAGAGATGAGAAGAAAGCAAGATTAACACTGATAATAAAAGCCTGTTCCCCACACAGTCTTGTGCTCCACCAACAGACACCTGAGCAAGAATTAAATGCCACCTTGTATTTTAGGGCTATTTCACAATTCATTCAGCTCTCAAAATACATAGTTTACTTTTATGGTACACATTGCATTCCCCGCATCTGCCTCCAAGAAATTTTCTTAGGTTGTTTTCCAACTATGGGCTCCATTCAGACTTCAGGCTAACCTTGTACAAGGTCAGATCCCACCAGACACAGAGTTGTCATTTTTGAGGACTCAATATTTGGCAAGTGTGGGAAATTTAAAGGTGGGAAACTCACAAAAGGAAGAGCCTGCAAAGAGAAGCATCTTCCACAGGGAATTTCTATGAATTAGTTACTTCTTGTTTCTCAAGCCTTCAGTTAAGAATACATTCTGGTCAGAAGAGAAGACCATCACGTTTACCTTCACTTTGCAGTGTTCTGTGGAACACTTAAGCATGCCATATAAAGCATAATATTATAAAGGCTAAAAGTATGTGTACACATTTGAGTGACATACTTGATGTGGCAAATGAGTGTATGCATGAAACATGTATTATGTATGCATGCTATATGTAAGAGTTATCATAAATTAGGTATGTAAGAATTATTATGCTACCAAATAACCTTTATTTTACATAATCAAACAAGCACTTCTAGACTGAGTACTAGGCAAAAGCTGATCATAAATTGTTCTCAATATTCCTGGTATTAGAACCAAGATATCCAGGTCTTTTTGTTTCCAGGGTCCTGGATTCTTGACTCTATTCCTCCTCAAAAAATGTGCAGGATGCCCAAGTTGCCTTAGTTTAGGGTGAGGTAGATTATACTGGAGGATTAGGAATAGCACTGTGGCCAAAGCTCACCCGGGGTAGCCAAAGTCACTGTGAGGAAGACATCAATCTGCCCTTCAGAGGGAGAAAGGCACAGATGGAGAAAACAACCTTTTATACAGATTCACACTCTTTTTCCCTCCTCATCTCAGAGAGAAAGAAAAACTGAGTAGCATGCTTAATGAGAAGGACCCTAAATAAGAAAATTGATGTATTACCTAAAATCCCACTTTAGTCAGCAGAAAAGTGTCCCCTCAAAGACTAATGCCTGAAACCTGTGAATATGGTACCTTATATGGCAAACGGACTTGGAGGATGTGATTAAGTTAATGACTTTAGGATGGGGAGATTATCCTGATGGCCCAATGTGTTCATATGGGGTCCTTTCTGGGCTGTGGTCAGAGGGACATGTGGCTGTGGAAGAACGGTCGGAGAGAGGCAACATTGCCAGCTCTGATGGAGAAAGGAAGTCAAGGAATGCCACCAGCTTCTACAAGCTGCAAATGCAAGGAAGCACACTCTCCCCGACAACCTCCATAGAGGAATGCATGCTGCCATCACCCTCATCATAGTCTGGCCTGCAGAACAAGGACTGGAAGACAATAGATATGTGTTGTTTTAAACTACCATGTTTGTGATAATTTCTTACAGTAGTAGTAGGAAGCTAATGTATCGACCAAGTAGAGATTGATTAATTTGGTTAATAAACAAAAACTCCTAGGAGAAAGAATGACTTATATTCTAATGCGACCACCTTGCTTTCTGAATCTGAGTTCCAGGACAGTGTAGAACAAAGGCTTACACAAACAGGGCAAGCTAGGAAGGACTTAATGGCAATTTCTGGCATTTAAAGCATTATTCTGTGTTTGGAAAAGAAAGAATTCAGGCAGTGGGTAAAATATAGACACTCCAAGAGAGAGAAAAAGAGTTAAAATGGATGGGGAAAGACACAAAAGACATTTCATATCACCCTAAATGAGCTGGGAGCTGATCCCCTCCCCTGCTGTCTTTGACAGCTGAGCAGTCAATGCACAAGTGGGAGGTATACACTCTCATGCACCATCTTAAACCAGCCCAGCCTGGCTTACCCGTCTAATGCAGAGGAGAGGGCCACCTGAGCTTAGAAATGCTCCACAAACCTGAAGCTCATTCATTGCTTAAAGAACCAGCTTCACCAAAAGCACTCGTAGGGAGCACTGGAGAAAACCCATGACAGCTGGGTAGCGGGGTACACAAAGGACGAGGAACTCACGCTTCTAACGTCACAAGGATGGTAGATTTTTTCCTCACTTATCCAACATCTGTATACCAGGTGCAAGGCAATGCTATGTGCTGAATGTAGAGTGTTTGTGCCAATGCAATAAAGTTACTACTTAAATTTTAAAATGTGAGTGAAAGAAGCAAAAGGCTACAAAAGCTGACAGCCAAGCGGAATAAATTGGTTGTTGTTAGAAAAGAAATTATGTTCTGTTAGAAAGCCTTTAAGCCTTCGTTGTTATGCTTCATAAGTCATGTGCTACCACATGACTTTGGGCTGTGAGTAGATGAACTGGTTCACAAGCAACCACACTGGGTACCCAGCATCATACTGCCAAGCTCTCCACCAGGATCATGGCTCAGCACACTACAGCAGGAAATAACAGAATTATAAAGGGGAAAGGAGGGGATACCTGAGGCTCAGGTTCTCTCTCTGGCATCACCCCAAAATGACTTAAAATTTGTTCTCTCATGCGATCCTGGAGAGACGCAAACCAGGAAACCGCCTGTTGATGCACAGAATCGTGGAGAGCGGCAAGTTCTTCATACTCTGGACCCTCCACCTGATCGGGGAAAAGGCACAGCCATGGGAGCCATTCATGGTTACGCACACAACACATTTAGTGACCTCTGCACCACCACTAAGTGGATTTGTGACATTTAGCACCTTAATAATTCATCAATTTCACAAAAATGGTACATGCTCAACATAGAAATCTATATTTTTTTTGCATAATTGAAATCTATCAATTGTATCCTGATTTTTCTCTTCATACTATAAGTACATGTTTCAGGTAATTGTAAATATTTTTCAATGGCCGCATGCAATTATATATTTAAGATATATGCCAATTTACTTAGCTATTCACATAAGTTATTTAGAATAGTCTAGATTTTTATTTTTAAAAATAACACAGTAATATAAACATTTATGAAAAATTGTGGGTTTTTTGACAAGGGAGGGAGATATGATTTCCTTAGAATAGTTTCCTAGAGACCTTGACAGAATTACCAAGACAAAGAGTGACATTTTAAAAACTGTATTCCATATCATCAAGCTATATTCCTAAAGGCTTGATAGGACAACACTGCACTCATGACATTGGCCTGGGCTGGTGGACTCCAGCTTGCGGTCGGCCACAGCACTTTAGATGGACCAAGCTTGGCCTCTAGTCCCTATGTCACTATCAAGTGTGTCATTTAAGTTACGCCTCAGTCCTGTTTGGGAACACCTGGAAGAGGAGGAAGAGCATGGAACTGGAAATCAGGGGGCCAGGGTTCATTCTGGCTTCATTGCTGACTCTCATGTGTGAATTTAGCTAGTCTCAAAGCCTCATTAGGGCAGAGTTTTCTCATGTGTAAAATAGGAATAAACCATGAAGGTCCTTTCCTGTTATAAAATTCCAGTACTACAAAAACTATGGTGTGCTGAGAAATTATAATGTAAGGCATATACTACCCTGAATTTGATATACAGAATTCAAATATTCATATGTGATAGAGGATTTTCTTTTAAAAACAAGCTAAAGTTATTTCATGTTGTAGCTATTTAAGCCCCCATTTAAAAATAAACACATACACTATTAAAAGCTGTCATCTCCAACAACAGTCAATTAACCCTGCCGTCAGGTCTATCAACCCAGCAGAGGGATCCTGAGAACTATCACTTTCAGCTATAGCTTTGAAACCCAACTGTCTGGTCCAGGCTGGGCTCTCTGCACTGCTCTGCTGCACTGGGATGATCAGAATCAGCAGCTGGAGGTGGCACAGAGCTAGCATCCTGGATGTGACTCCATTCAAAAATCCTAAGCGTACACCACTGCCCACAAAATGACTTCCTGTGTGATGTGGGGTGGCTACATACTCTCACTTCTGCATTTCCAAATGTCAACCAAAGAATTTAAAAGAGGGATACAATAATTCCAAGGATTTCCTCATTTTAAGTATTTTTAAATGTCTTGCTGCAGTATAATTTACAGATCGAAAAGTGCATAGATCTTGTTTAGCTTGAAGAGTTTTCTCAACTGTATACACCAGTTTGACCATCACCCAAAACCAGACAGACACTTCCACTACCTAGAAAGATTCTTGAACGCCCTCCTCCCGAGTCAGTTACAAAGCCAACCCCACGAGCCTTTTCTGACTTCCATTCCCGGAGTTTAGTTTTGCCTGTTCCTGAAAGTATACAGATCAAGTCACAGAGCACGTGTTCGTCCTGTATCTGGCTTCTCTCACTTAACTGCACCAGCATTTCATTTCTTTTTATTGACAGGTAGAATTCCATTGCATGAATGTACCACAGTGTGTTTACTGACTCAACGGAGATCAGCACCTGGGCTGCTCCTGGTTTGGGGCTACTACTGAGTAAGACTACTACGGACATCCCTGTGCAAGTCTGTTAGAGAATCTCTCAAAACATTTTGCTAATTTGTCAAATTATACGTCCTGATATTTCTATTAGATACATAAAAAGTTCTTATGGGCAATAAATTCAAGGCTTTTATATTTAGCTTTGATAGGTATTTTTAAGTTGTAGATTTGTGTCACATTCTGAACTAACACCAACACAGAGAACAGGGATTGACAAATTGCTGTTCATGAGTCAGCCCATGCTTACCACCATGTTTCTGGAAATAACATTTAATGGAAAACCAGTCTTGCTCATGCCTTTACACATTGTCTATGGCTGCTTTTACACTGTAAGGGCAGAACTGAGTAGCTTTGACAGAGACCATATGGCCTGCGGAGTCTAAAGTATTTATTATCCTGCCCTTTACAGAAAAAGTTTGCCAGCTCCAGGTTAGAACATCCAGTAAGAAAATCACAAGCCTATTTTTCAATGTGCAGGTTTACATGCTCTGTAAGTATAGTAAGGTCACTTTTTAAAAAAGATTTATCTTCCAGCTCCCAACTCAGGTAAAAACCGCTGAGAAAATAAATGTCTGCCATAGGCAGTGGCTCATGCCTGCAGTCCTAGTGCTTTGGGAGGCCTACGTGGTAGGACTGCTTGAGCCTAGGAGTTTGAGACTAGCCTGGGCAACACAGGGAGACTTTGTCTCAACAAAAAAAAATTTTTTAATTAGCCACGTGTGGTGGTGTGCATCTGTAGTCCCAGCTACTCAGGAGGCAAAAGCAGGAGGATCGCTTGAGCCTGGGAGGTCAAGACTGCAGTGAGCCGAGATCATGCTGCTGCACTCCAGCCTGCATGACAGGAGACCTTGATTCAAAAATAAATAAGTAGGTAAATAAATAACTTAAGTAGTGAATTAAGTGCTTAAGTAATATTGTCAACACAAGTTTGACAAAGATTTCTTACAATGCAGAGGGAAGCAAGAGGACCGACCTCTATAAAATACACCAGTACAATAAGCCTTACCCTTTCATCTTCAAGATACTCAATGTCCGCTGTGTTATAGCCATCTCTGTGGCGGTGGTTTAGCACTCGGAACCGACTGATGCCAATTGCGTCTACGACGGAACTTCCATCAGGAAATGTTCTCACATCCTTAATCTCCAGCATGCACCCGTACTCTGAAAGCCTGGAAAGATGGTTGGGAGAAATGACGGTGATTTTTAAAATGCAGGAGGCCTTTATTTTTCCCTGGATGAGAGTTTGCTTTTAAAAGGAATACAAAGTCACACAAAACAGTATCTCCATATCAGACCAGCAAGTTTTCTGTTGCTAAGGGACATGTGCAGACAGTCGCTTCTGCCAGATGCTAAATATAGTGGTGATGGTGGCTGCAGAGGAAGGGCTCCAGGTGAGACAGGACTTGTGCCTTAGCAATTCCAGTGGGCTAGTGTTTTGGGAAAGACCCAAGAGATGGGAAGAGACAAAAATCTTAAATGTGGCTCCTCAGCTGCCTTGGCCAGGCACCATTAGGACTGCCTAGCTGGTGCCATGCACACACACGGCTTTCCAAAGCTCTCCACGGCTCTTACCCACACCGATTGTAACTATCACCCGTATCCTAGTGATATTCTCATGCTACCACGTGCCAAGCACCACACAGAGCAATACATACAAATGCAAGCCCACACTTAAAATTTGATTCATCAAAAGTCAGTAAAGTGAAAAAACAAGCTATAGAAGTTCCATGTGCACTGAGAATACAGAACACTGAAAAGAATGTGAAAAACAACAAGAAAAATCAGATAAACCACAAAACATATGTCTCTTGAACCCATCAGAGACTGGAGGTTGCTCTGGGTAACCAAACAAAGATCCCACAGAGCAAGAGTAGACGGAGCCCAGGAAGAGACATAAAAGTACAGAGGAAGAATTCAGCTAATTTTTTTTTAAACAAATTGCCAATGACCTGTGTGGGCTGGCATCAGAGTGTAGGTCCTTGAAGAGCTGTACTCACAAAGGGAGCTAGCATCACACACAGGCTCTTGTCCACAGATAAGAGGCTCCTTGGTGAGTCATGCCCTGCAGTGAGGTAGACTTGGAGGAGCTGACATTTATTTAGAAGGCTCTGCTGGTGCTGGTTGCTAGGGCAGCAAGCTCTCTACCTTCAAAAGCACTCAGCTCCTCCTCCCTCCTGCCTTTGCCCACAAGGTCTTCCCCTCATTCCAATTCTGCCAGCGCTGCCCTCCCCAACCAAAGTGCCGTGGTAAGCAGTCCCCGGCCATTGCCTCCATCTCCTTGCCTCCCTTTCACTGCTCCATTTCCCACCATTTCACTAAAATGACTCCAAAAGAAGTCAGAGATGTCCTCTGAATTGCTCAAAGCATTGGACAGTCTCCTGTCTGACCCCCCTAAGGCACGACCCTGCAGACTGTTGCTGAGCCAATGCCTCTGCTCTCCTGCACCCTCTCTAACCAGCCCGGCCCCTCACACCCCTACCTCTGTCTGTCCCTCCCGCTCCATGCTACCCAGCACAGGGTGGTGTCCTAAGCTATGTCTATTCTCATTCCAAAGCTCTCCCCAGATCTTACCTACATTCCAGTTGTAACTATCACCTGTAATCTAGTGATATTCTCATACTACCATGTGCCAAGTACCACACACAAGTTTATAATACACATGAATTCAAGCCCACAAAACATGGAGGCTCAGAGGAATTAACTTATCTATGGCCACTGGGAGATTTAGAACCAAAATGAGAACTCAAAGCAGTACGATTCTAAAGTCCTCATGGTGAGCAACTTTACTATACCTCCCCAAACTAATGAGCAGTGATGATTCCCAAGTTACAGGTCTGTACATCAAACTGCCGCCTGGATGCCTCTACTTATATACTTAATAAAACTCTCTTCCTGTTCACCTAACAGGATGATCTCATTCATAGCATGGTGAACCTGCAGGCATCCTGAAGATCCCTCTTCAAGGGAGGACTTGCTGCCCCAGCAACCAGCAGAGGCCTCCAAATAAAGGTCAGCTCCTCCAAGCCTGCCTTGCTGCAGACATGACTCACCAACGAGCCTCTTATCTGTGGACAAGAGCCTGTGTGTGAAGCAAGCTCCCTTTGTGAGTGCAGCTCTTCAGGGACCTACACTCTGATGCCAGCCCACACAAGGTCACTGGCAATTTGTTAAACAAAAAAAATTAGCTGAATTCTTCCCACACACTTTTATGTCTCTTCCTGGGCTCCGTCTACTCTTGCCCTGTGGGATCTTTGTTTGGTTACTCAGAGCAACCTCCAGTCTCTGATGGGTTCAAGAAACAAATGTTCTGTGGTTTGTCTATTTTTTCTTGTTGTTTGGATGGGAATGACATTCTTTTCAGCGTTCTATATTCTCAGTGCACATGAAACTCTTATAGCTTATTTTTTCACTTTACTGACGTTTGATTAATCACATTTTAATATATTCTAATTTATTAATCTCTTTTTCTGTTGTGTATTCTCAGCACCTTGTATGAGAATCTTTCCCCATTCCTAATTATAAGGTGATCCCCAATATTTCCTCTTAAATATTTTTATATTTTGTTTTTTACATTAGCAATGTAAACGTGTTATTTTTCATTTATGGTATAAGGTAAAGTTTTTTTTCCCCCTTCTCATTTGGACTACCCACTAATTTTCTGGACACCCTTTATTGAGTAGTTTGTCTTTTCTCAGAAAATTGTCTGTAAATATGCTGTCCATATATGAGTGGACCTGTTTTGGATCTCTGCATTATTGTTTCATTGGTCTACTTACTACTTACTGCTTGTAAACCTGACACTATAGGAGTGTTCGCCCGTTTGCTCAGCCATATCTAGGCTTGGTGTTTTGCTTTTCCATACTGATTCTAAGGTCAGCTTGAGCAAGTCCATGAAGAAGCCCCCTGGGGATGTTCATGGAATTTATTCTGGATTTGTGGAACTGCATAGATACGGCATCTCTGTGACATTGAGTCTGTCACCAATGGACATGGCATTTCTTTCCATTGATTCAGAACTTCTTGAGTATCTTTCAATAAAGTTTCAGAATTTTCTCCACAAAGGTCCTACATATATTTTTAAAAGATTTAGGTATTTATGGTAGAAAATTCTGAGTGGTCCTAAAAATGCACTCTCCTCTTATTCCTGGGTACGTGGGTGGACTATATTTGCCAGGCTCCTTTGCAGCAGGTGTGAACAGAAGGTAGCCCCCTTTCTTCAGAGTCCTTTAAGAGCATGTGCACCTCCTCCACAGCTAGCACTTGGAGGCAGTGACCTTATCATGACCATGTAGGGCTGATAAGTTCCTAAGGGATGGGAGGGTCCTGAGTCCCCAAATGAGTCCACAGAGGGGAACGACCTGCTGGCTTGCAATATTCTCCCCTGACAAAGACATGAAGTGAGAGAAGTGAAAACATGTGTAGTGTGTTTTTATAAGACTGAAAATGATTTGGCTATAGAGACAAAAAAGGGAAAAAGCTTTGTGAAGGATATAAAAACTTTTCATTTTAGAAATTGTTTGTAGAGATGGAGTCTCCCTATGCTGCCTAGGCTGGTCTCCAACTTCTGGGCTCAAGCGATTCTTCTACCTCAGCCTTTCAAAGTGCTGGGATTACAAGCATGAGCCACTGAGCCCAGTTGCAATTTTCCTAGACCTCAAAAGTTGGACAAGATTTATTTGTATATAGATGGGGATAAAGAAACTTGCAGGCAGAGGGAAGCACAGAGGGGTGGAAGCATGAGCTGTCACAAGAGAAGGGCAGGTAGCATGGCAGTGGACTAGCGGGTGTGATGCTTGAAAGGAAGAGGTGGGCAGTGAGGGATGGGACCGCAGTATGCGCAGCCTTAACTTGGACTTTGTTACGTAATGGGAGTCACTGGAGGTTTTCAAGCATTAGCCTAAATCATTCTGCAACAAAGATGATAAACAATGCCCTTAATTAGGACCCTTTGAATGCTGACAGTTCTTACCCTGCGTGCTCAGCAGATAAACACATGCCAAATCGCCTGGTGCCAGTTTCCATGCATCTTCTTATCATAAGCCGATAGCGGGGCTCAAAGACATGGAGTGGACATGGGACTGTGGGGAAGGCCATGGCACACACGAAGATGGGCACGTCTCTGGTCAGACTGCAGAACAAGGGGACATGTTATCTCAGATGTATGATCTGTTAGATCAGAGGGTGGTAGTGGCCACCAAAACAGCAAACACTCAACCTCAGTTCTCCCCGCTACAAAACAAAACTCTCAGGCTAAGAGGGACAAGAAAGCCAAGGACCACAGCATGTGAACATTCTCTGCTCACCCTGGTTTTCTGACAAATCTGTCTTATTTAATTAGAAAAAAGGGAACATGCTGAATTATATTACTTTGCTTGGAAAAGTTACAGCTTTTGAGCACTCTAAAAAAATTCTGATAAAAGCAAAAACTACATAATAGTCAAAGGCAATGAGTTTTAAATAGGAGAGTGGAAAAGTGATAAGATCTCTACAAAAACACAAAAATTCCACCATTTTAAATGATGAAAACTGTCAAGCCTGTTGTGATTCGCAATCCTGGGCCTTGCTTTTCATTCTACTTTTAAAAATTGTGCTTCGCTTTACTCCACTTTGCAGATATTACATTAACACATTTTTTGAGGTAAAATATACATATATAATCTACTATTCTTAAGTGTACACTTCATCAGTAACAAATACATTTATATTCTTTCATTTATTTTTTACCAATTATTTTAATATAGAGGAAGGGTCTTGCTATGTTTGCCAGCTTGGACTAGAACTCCTAAGGCTCAAGCAATCCTCCTGACTTGACCTCCCAAAATGCTAGGATTACAGGCATAAGCCATTGTGCGCAGCCCTCTTTGCTTTTTAAATCCTGAAAAATTCAGTATCACTTACTTATATACAAAAAGCAACTATGTAATTTTGTTAAAACACTTAAAAATATCTTATAAAAAATTTCTTATAACTTCTTGCAATTATGTTTCCAAAAATATTTTGCAATTAACTTTTTTTTCCACTTACAGACCAAAAGAGTTCCCTGCCAGGAAAAGAAAACTGGAGGTGAAGTTGAGGTTGACAAAGTTCAATCTGAACCTAAGACCAAGGACATACGTGAGCACTTACTTTGACAGTTCCGACATTTCTTCATCATAAATTCTCTTCCTATCAGACAATTCATCTGACAAATACCGAATTATTAATTCTTCAGCCAGAACAGTTATATTAAAGTTTCTGCTTGCCAATAACTGTAATAAAACAACAACAAAAAAGTCAAATGATACCGTATGGTAATTGACTCTAAAGGACCAAGCTTCCCAGTTGAACAGTGAACAAGGAGGTGGTGGATGGGATCTCTGAGCAGGTAAGAAGGAGCAGAGTGGAGAGAGAAGAGGGCCAGATTGTGCCAGGAGCAGGGGCAGCCCCTCCACTGTGAGAAAAGGCCAGGAGGTGGTGTTCATCTGGACGAAGGATGAGGCAACTCAATCTTGACAGCATCTACATTTTCAGCCAAGTGCCGTGATATTAATGAGAGGGGAGGAAGTGAAGTGGGGCATGCTGGGAGAGGAGAGATATGCAATGATAAGCTTGGAGAGTAAAAAACTGAACTACTAGAGAAAGAATGTAAGAATGATTACTGATGTTTTAAGTCTAAGACTTAAAATTTTGTTAATCTAAACTGACACCAATCTTCCCAATGTTGCTTTTTTTTTTCTAGCTTTGTTATGGTTACTTAGGATGCATGCAAATGGTAAAGGCTGACTTCTTTGGGATTGAGAAAGGGAGTGAGGGACCATGGATTAAAGCTGGATGTGAAGGGAAGGTGGGAGACTAAACGAGGAAGTGCTGTGATTCGTGGGTTGCAGGGCCACAATGTGGCTGAACTACTATTCTGTATGCGTGTGTGTGTGTGTGTGTGTGTGTGTGTATGTGTGTGTGCGCATGTGTGTGGACACAGAGTAGTAGTTCGGTAGCTTGCACTGTTTTATTGCAGGCATGTATACTAGCATATAGTAGCTCTTTTTTTTTTAGATGGAGTTTCACTCTTGTTACCCAGACTGGAGTGCAATGGTGCGATCTCAGCTCACCGCAACCTCCGCCTCCTGGGTTCAGGCAATTCTCCTGCCTCAGCCTCCTAAGTAGCTGGGATTACAGGCACACGCCACCATGCCCAGCTAATTTTTTGTATTTTTAGTAGAGATGGGGTTTCACCATGTTGACCAGGATGGTCTCGATCTCTTGACCTTGTGATCCACCCACCTTGGCCTCCCAAATAGTAGCTCTTTTTACTGACATTCTGATACACATTAGGTGCTGTTGCAGGTGCATTATTAGTCCTGAAAGCAGTATAATGCTATAGTTTTTCTCTCCACTGTGCTCATAAAGCTGTGATTCAGAAAAAGTAAGGGTGAGTGCTGAGCCACCATGGCATAATGAGGACCCCAGGCCTGGCGGGCTTCAGGGCTCTGCTCTTTGGCCTGCTGCATTTATGGGCTTGGCATGGCGCCACGTATTTCCGACATACCTTGGCTGGGGGAGTACTTCGCATACTGCCATGTTTCCCTGTAGCTGGTGTGACACAAACTAAATGTACTGCTGTGATTGAGAACCAGGAGTTCAAACTTTGGAAAAGCTTTTGTTTGGGAACCGCTATTGCAGGTCAACTAGTAGAATAACACGCTATCATCTAATTCACAAAACTGCCTCATAAAATTGTCATTATAAATGGTTTATGATGTCCTTTCATTGAAGAGTAATACAATAAAACATGCTTTACTTGGCATGATGCTAACCACTTCTGTTGATTCATATATAAATGATGATTCAGGTCCCTGGTAGTGCATGCAAAGGTGTCTATGAGCATGATATGATTTCTGCAATGAAGAAAGACAAAACTATAATTTTGGATTTTATTTCATTTTCTAGTATTGCAATTTCTGGAACGTTAGTAATCCATGTATAGTTTGCATATAATCATTCATTCATTCATTCACTAATTCATTCATTATTCAACAAAGACTTCAAGAGTCTCTGGTGTATGTGCTGGTCCCTGTAAATACAGGGAAAACAGGTCACAGGAATTCTCAGTACTTAAGCAGCTTCTATTCTAGTGCCGACCTCCAGCTACTGCATCTTCACTCGGCCTCCTATAAGGCAGCACTGAAACGGAAGTGAGTTAGGTCTGTGTTATAAACAGGGCTCATGCACTTTGGGAGGCTGAGGCGAGTGGATCACGAGGTCAAGAGATCGAGACCATCCTGGTCAACATGGTGAAACCCCATCTCTACTAAAAATACAAAAAATTAGCTGGGCATGGGGGCGCATGCCTGTAATCCCAGCTACTCAGGAGGCTGAGGCAGGAGAATTGCCTGAACCCCGGAGGCAGAGGTTGCGGTGAGCTGAGATCGCGCCATTGCACTCCAGCCTGGGTAACAAGAGCGAAACTTCATCTCAAAAAAAAAAAACAGGGCTCACACAGACATGCATTTTATTCTTGTTAGAACAGATGAGCCTGTTCTGGCCCAGGCAGGCACCAGAACAAGAGGCAATGGGTCTGAGGCATCTACTAGCAAGAAGAGACAGCAAACACCAGGAGGAGGACTACGCAGGAGCTGCCTAAGAAACCGCTCTGCAGACTCAGACAGAACCACCACCATGAATGACGCACAGCACACAGCACAGTCATTGATGTCCATGAGAGCTCTGAAGAATTTAGAAAGATTCAGTATGCACACAATTTAATAAAGTATGAACATACAATGTTTTAGAAAATGGTTTCTATGGTAACTAGTTATTTTAATCTTTTAGCAGTGAATTTTTTTTTAGAGACAAGGTCTCGCTATGTTGCCCAGGCTGGAGTGCAGTGGTTATTCACAGGCATGATCCCACTACTGATCAGCATGGGAGTTTTGACCTGCTTCTTTTCTGACCTGGGCCAGTTCACCCCTCCTTAGGCAACCTGGTGGTCCCCCACTCCTGGGAGGTCACCATATTGATGCCCAACTTGGTGTAGACACCCAATTGGCATAGTGCACTACAGCCCAAAACTCTTGAACTCAAGCGATCCTCCAGCCTCAGCCTCCCGTGTAGCTGGGACTACAGTCATGCACCACCGTGCCCAGCAGTAATTTTTTTTATTGTACTTTAGGTTCTGGGGTACATGTGCAGATCATGCAGGACTGTGGCATAGGTACATACATGGCAAGGTGGGGTTTGCTGTTTTGGCAGTAAATTTTAAAGGTTACAATTATTTAAAACTTCACTTAAGAATAATATCTCCTCTTATCATATAAGATTTAAAAATAAATATTACTATACATATGTAAAAAGAAAAACCTTTATCCTACTTAAAATGCATTCAATAAGTTTAATCTCTGGAAAGTAATTAAGGCAAATATTATCAGTCACATTTAACGAATGGAAAACAAAGGAAGACACTCCCTACCCCCATAAGATGTTGAATAACTTGCTCCATATTAAGTTAGTGGCACTAATGGAACCAGAGCCCAATACAGCTGATAAGAATTTGCTATTTCAGAAATTGATCACAGGTCTTCAGCTTTTAAATATTCTTCGTTGTATTTGCCACACCTAACGTAAATGGATTTAATAGTATATATTAGGGCTAAATATCATTAAATAGCTTCCCCATGGAACCTGAATTTTACTGATTTTGATTTTAGACCAAAGACAATAATAACTGACAATTGGTGAAAGCTCTAAGGGTCAGAAATGATCAAGCCTTCAATCCTATGAAAAACTCTCAAGATGAAAATGAGAATTTCTGGAACACATTAACTGTACATGACAACGTCTCAACCATTTACAATGAATGTGATGTAAGGACTCAATAATGCTAGCTATTTTCAATCTATCTCAACGAAAATTTATACCTAAAATTTTCCTTAAATTCAATCTATCTCAACGAAAATTTATACCTAAAATTTTCCTTAAATTTTAGCAATTTCTGCCATGTAAACCTTCCTTGTGTATTTCTTGATTAATCAAAGAGATGAGAAAAGACCTATCTTTGATTGGAGAAATCTCTTTCTTTAACAATTGGGTGGGAGATGCAACGCAAGACAGGGAATATGCATCTACCAAGGGATGACAGGAGGAACTGTCTTGTCATTTCCTAAAATGTACTTACTTCCGAAAGTTTGTCTTTGCACAATGGACATTGTGGGGAATGGTCAAGGCAGCGCTCAAGGCATTTTAGGCAAAATGTGTGTCCACAGGGTGTAGTGACAGGTTCAAAGAGCAACCTGGAAGAAAATACCTGTTTTCAGCAAGAAATGTCCAGGACAGATTTTCAAATCATGGATTGGTTAGAAGGATTCCTTATGCAATTCCATTACTGTTTTAGAAATCACTTGCATGCACTTCCATTTTTACATCTTCTTTATCAAATGTTTATTAAATAAATCAATTATTACTGAGCTCTACATAGTTTCCCCAATAATAAAAAGCCCATTACACTTTGGTACACATTTCAGAAATGCCGAAGTTTTAAAGAGTTGCATGGAATCTGTATCATCCTACCTCATGCAGAGGGCACACTCAAAGTCAGTTACATCAAGCGAGAGCCACTGACTTTCTTCCATATCAGAGTTCAGGCTCCTTTGAGGCGAGAAATCTGAATGTGAAAAAATTTAGAATGCTGTAATTAACACCTAAGCATCTGAACAACAGCATGCAAAGAAAGGTATTTCCTCTGGACAAAATGGGTTGCATCAATGTAACAAATCACGCTGGACAGAAATAGTTCCTGTCCAGTTAACAGCATATAGCAATTATTTATCTGGATGATAAACGTGAATAAAATTTAAAATTATAGCTAAATTTTCTCTGTTATTTTTGACTCTGAAGTCTTCTGTATAAAACATCTAAAATGCTCTATATAGAGCTGATATAATCATTTCATTACTAATATTAAATGGTACAGAATTTTAAAAAATATATTGAATACTAGCTAGCATTCTATCACTTTGGAGTCACAGAACTGCCTGATGAAAATAATTAACTGACCTTTCTTGGGAATTTTTCCAGGTGCGTTCAGGTCAGGTGCACCTTCCATGTCATCTGGAAACTGTCTCTTCAAGCCAGTGTTGGGTGCTGTTGGAAGGATGCTTTCTAACACCTTTTTATCTTCTTCAAAGTGCAGACCCAGTATGAAATACAGAACTGTGGAATTGGTATTTCCAAGCATATCAGATTTCTCAGATGAATTCTGTTAAGTAGGAAAAAAAGAAATCCTGAATATTAAAGAAATCATAGCATAAGGAATAAAGAATTCAGTAGCCTGACTAGAAATCTTTGAAAAAAAAAAAAAAAAAAAAGGGCTTACACTCTTCTTTCAAAATTGGTTTCATCTATTAATTTCTAGGATGAGTTTTATTCTTTTCACAATAAAATACAGGATAATTTCTTCCTGAGCCAGGGCAAGTGAAAAGTTATCTTCATATGCAATCTCTCTACACACACACATATATAGACACACACACACACACACTCTCACACCCATATATCATATTCAAACCAACCCTTTGTTTTATTTTCTCCAAGCCAAGATAACTTCAAGTCTCCTGCCGTTGTGGGTGATTTGGTGATGTTCTAAAGCTTCTTTGAATCTTTAATCACTTTCATTACTTCCATAGACTTTGTGTAAAAGTTCCAACTCCCAGGTTGAGGAGCTACAGCTGGTCTTGAGAAATATGTCTAACTAACACAATGCCATAATGTGTGAATAATCTGTAAACTGTTTAAAATGAAGCAATTACATAAACCTTAATCAAGAGAATCCTGACAAACACACGCACTTCATACCTCAGAGCTCCCTGCATCACCTTCTTCCGGCTGAGACTGGGCATTCACGGGGCTGTGACCTTGAGCCTTTAATCTGCTTTGGATGGAAGATGTTAAATTTTCATGCACATTTTCTGTAGCTGAAAACAGCACTTCACACATTACCTATAAAATTGCCAAGAAAAGAAAAAAAATTTTAAATACTTTTGTAAAAATATAGTATGTCTTACAGATTCCAAGAAAACTACGAGGCTAAATAAGCCTAAAATGTTGAAAAGAATAATTTATCTGCCAACCTTTTAAGAAACAAACATTTTTGAAACCAGAGTCAATGTTTTAAGTATTTTAGCTTCCAATCCCTTTCCATCTTACACTTCCCAATGACAAAATAATAGTATTACCACTTCCCTCTACCTGGTCCTTACACATCTGCTACAAAAACTTTCCCTTAAAAGCCACACAGATAAGAGAGAAACTGGATATAAAGATTGCTGGGGACTTGAATTAAATCTAAGCTGTGATCACCCACAGGACTGAGGTCACTCTACAGAACTGCTCTATTTATGAGAACCAGAAAAGCCACCTCATAAAGAACTTTAAAGAAAAAGAGAGGGAAAGGACATAATTCTGGTTCAAGAACCAGGGAGTAGCATTGGTGGGGGCAGGGGAAGGGTGGACAGTGATGGCCAGTTAGGCATTCTAGCTGACACCCAATTCTAGTGGACCCTCAAATGGTCTTGTCAAACCTCATGGCCTCAGCTGCATCCAAGGCTTGAGAAAAGCAGAAAGGAGTGACTGAAACCTAAACAAAGACTCCTCTCACTCTCCACTGTTCCTCATCGTTCAAGGTGGGTTCACTAGAGTCCATGGCTCTGTAGCAATGTGCACCAGCACTCTTAGCAGGGACATTAATGTCCTCACCTCCAGTTCTGAGAGCCTTAGCAGAGCTGCTGGTGATGGAGCCACATTCCACATCAACAGGCTAACATTGTTTTTGGTACTGTCTGTGATACAATGTATCTATCAGCCATAGAATGCCCATGGGAAAACACCATGTCTGAAAAAGCTCCAGGCAGACAACACCCACAAGACCTAAACCCCTCACCAGGAACCTTGGTGAATATGCTTAATCTCTTTGAGCTTGGGCTGACTTTCTCAGAAGAGGGTCATGGAATTAGTTGAGACATGTTTTAAGATTCTTAGGAAGTTTGCATACAGGACAAAGAAGGCAGAGACAGCTGAATAGCAGGCTGAAGATGCAATATTATTTTGACAGGTTGAAATGATGTTCAAAAACCAATGAGTGACACTGGTCAACTGAACAACTGTCAGGACAACTAAACAGGACTAACACCAATCCACCAATCAAGTGCAAAAGAGAAGATAAAAAACAACATTGCTAGAAACTTCTTCTTTAAAAAAAAAAAAAAAGATGATCTAGATATTTAGAAATAAACATGCCCCCTAATTTGAACACAAGTGAAGGTAAAATTTCACCAAATGTGGCTGTCACATGTAGATGCTGAAATATTAGAATGCATCCAGAGGATGTATCCAGAAGAGGAAATCTTAAAAACCCCATTCTGTGAGAAAAGAATGTTTGGCCCACACGGTGATGTTAAGGCAAAGACAATAGCTGTTCTCAAATATCTAATGTGGGTTGAATTGTACAAGGAAGAACTGATTCATTTTCTGTTATTCCAGAGAAAAGAACTGGACAGGTAAGTAAAAATTACAGGGTAAGTATATGGTAGAAGGTGACAATATACAGTGTTAAAACAGGGAAGCACAAACATGAAAACAAAACTCCTGGTCATTGGAAGTGCTAAGTAAATGTCAGGTAACCATCGTATAGGTTTTTTAACAGGATAGATTTCTATATTCAGTGTGACTGGATGATGGGTAAAAGAGCAGGTATTTCTGCACTGTGCTGGTGAAGCTTTGCTGAAAATTATAGGTCACCCTATAGAGCTGAGTTGATATATTTTACATGTATCATAATGTCTTTCATAAGGCTCCTACACAAACTATATAATACTTGAAACTACAAACTCTAGGAGAAAATACTTTGCCTCCCTAGCCTCACACAGCAACCTTGCCTTGCCTAACGTGTGTCATTATGTCAACAGAATTAAGGTATGTTTATGTTGTCTCATGAGACACTCTACTTTACCCAGGGACAAAACATAATGTTTACCTAGAAGTGATCCAAGCATGAACCTTATAATTATTACCATGTATTCTGTAACACATTGTCATGAGCATTCAGAATTATATTTCTTGTTTATCTCACATGCAAGGGTTACTCAGCATGAACATGAAGGCTATAAAAAAGACCGGAAGGAGAAAGTCCTTTAACAGAACTCATACCTTCTGTGCTTCTTTCTTCACAGCATTACATTCAGGATTTAGAGCAAGGCAGTAGAGAAATTCCTTTAACACTTCCTTACTTCTTCCCAATCCAGAAAGAGCTTGAGCTTTTACATGATGTCCCTAGATTCAACAAGACAAATTATGCATTTTTAAAACCCAGCATGATTACATACTTGAATACAAACTTTGCTGAACAAATTTATTATAAATTGTTTTAATTTCACATTAAGTAGAATAAACAGAAACCACCAAGGATGACTCTATTGCTACTGTATCTCACTACCTGGAAACTTAGCAAACTTCAATAGCTCATAAATACAATCTACAGTCAGAACAAGGAGTTACCATACCTGAAATGTACTGCACAAAGGAGTACTAAGGGACGTGCTAAGAGCAAACTGGCTATCAACTTTAAATTTATTCAGCAATTACAGGTCACTACCATCTTCCTACCTTCCAGGAGTTTACAGTCTCATGAACGAAGACAGACACGACTAAAGACAATTACAATACAAAGCATAATATACTGAGTGCCACAATAAAAATAAACAGAATACAATATGGATCAGTAATTTCCCATGGCATTTGCTTTTCAACTTATGAATGCAGTATTTTCTCAAATCTGCAAAAATACTATTTTTTTGTTTTCTGCTGGTTTACATATAGTTGAAAGACCTTCTCTTAGCACTTTGAATATGCTGTTCCAATGTCGACCAGCTTCCACAATTTCAGATGAGATGGCAACCATCAATATTATTTCCCTGTATGTCATTTTGCTCATTCTCATTTCATGTCATTTTTCTTTACTGCTTTCAAGACTTTCTATCTTTGGCTTACAGCATAACCATTTGATTACGATTAGAATGTATCATTGCTTATAACTTGAGTTAACCTTCTTGGAGCTGAAATTAATGTTTCCCACTAAATTGGGAAACTTTTCACCCATTATTTCTTCATTTTTTTTCTTGCCAAACATTTTCTGTCTTCTTACTGGATTCCAATTGCACATACATTGTACCACTTCATATTATTCCACAAGTTTCTGAGATTCTTTTCATTTTTCTTTAATCTTTTTTCTTTCTGTTCTTTGCATCAAATAATTTGTTTATACAGATCTACCTTTAATTTCACTGATTATTTTGCCATGTATAATGTGCGATTGAGCCTACCTAGAAATTTTAAATTTCAGCATGGATAATTTTTATAATTTCAGCATTGATAATTTTTATCTCTAGAACTTCCTTTTTGTTAAAAGATGGGGTCTCACTCTGTTGCCCAGGCTGGAATGCAGTGGCATGATCAGATCTCCTTGTGACCTTTAACTCCTGGGTTCAAACAATCTGCCTCAGCCTCCTGAGTAGCTCAGACTACAGGCACATGCTACCCTAACTGGTTAATTTTTTAATTTTTGTAGAGATGTGATCTTATGATGTTTCCCAGGCTGGTCTTGAACTCCTAACCTCAAGCGATCCTCCTGCCTCAGCCTCCCAAAGCATTGGGCACACATTCATGAGCCATGACACCCAGTCAGAATTTCCATTTTTTGTAGTTTCGATTTCCCTGTTGAGATTGCTGTTAATCTCAAAGATAACATATTTTCCTTCAGTTCTTGGGAAGCAATTTAACTCTTTGAACCTACTCATAATAGCTACTTTGAAGTCTCTTTGTGGAAAATATAGTATCTGTACCCACTCAGAGACAATTTTAATTGACTGTTCTTTTTTTTTTAAATTTTTTATTGGATTTTAGGTTTTGGGGTACATGAGCAGAGCATGCAAGACAGTTGCGTAGGTACACACATGGCAGTGTGCTTTGCTTTCCTTCTCCCCTTCACCCTCATTTGGCATTTCTCCCCAGGCTATCCCTCCCCACCTCCCCCTCCCACTGGCCCTCCCCTTTTCCCCCCAATAGACCCCAGTGTTTAGTACTCCCCTTTCTGTGTCCATGTGTTCTCATTTTTCATCACCCGCCTATGAGTGAGAATATGCGGTGTTTCATTTTCTGTTCTTGTGTCAGTTTGCTAGTACAGGTAACCATTTTCTGTTTCTTTACATGGCAAGCACTTCTGGCTGAAATTAGACTCTGCACAAAACATGTTGCATCAACCTCTGCATTTTGTGGTATTCTTTTGAGAATACTGGGTTTTTGTTTTAATAGGCAGTTAACCTTGCTGGATTCCACTGTGACCTGTTATCTTCTTCATGGTATAGAGCTGGTATATCTCTGCTCTGTTAATATGTTATTCCACAGCTCCTTTATTTTTATTTTTTATTTCAGACCGAGCCTTGTTCTGTTGCTCAGGCTGGAGTGCAGTGGCACAATCCTAACTCATGCCAACCTCCGCCTCCCAGGCTCAAGTGATTCTCCTGCCTCAGTCTCCCGAGTAGCTGGGACTACAGGTGCCTGCCACCACGCCCAGCTAATTTTGTAATTTTTTGTTGTTGTTGTTGTTTTTTAGTAGAGATGGAGTTTCACCATATTGGCCAGGCCAGTCTCAAACTCCTGACCTTGTGATCCACCAGGCTTGGCCTCTGAAAGTGCTGGGATTACAGGCTTGAGCCACCGTGCCCAACTTCCACAGCTCGTTTTTAAGTCTTGTGGTTCTCCCCAATGCCTATGAAATCTGATAATAAGCCAGGATTTGGTCAGAGCTGGGAATTATCCACGCTGGGACTTCTCTGCTTTTAGGAATTCCCCTAATTTCCAGGTGTTCTGTTAGAACTCTGAACTCCTGGTACTTTTAGGTGGTGATGCTGAGTGTTTGTCCCACTACTATTTTCTTACAGCTGCAGCTGTGGAGACAGACAGAACTCAGGGGCCAAAAAGACAAAAACAAAAGAATAAACAGAAAACCCCCACACAGTTCTTATCCCTTTCATGTGCAGGTTTTTTAGAAATGCTCCTCCAGCTTCTGTTTTTGGATGCTTTACAGTGTACTTTTTTAAATCCAGTTTTTATAACTGTTTTCCCCTCTGGGTTCACATGACCACTTCACTCCTTCACTGTTAACAGAGGTAAACCACCACCCCTGTTACCATCATTTTAATTATTTCTGTACTAAAAATGCTCCAGAACATTGACAGCCACTAATGGGTAAATGTAAAGGCCCATTTTCAGGTCCTAGCTTACCAGACTTCTCTCTCCACCGTTTAAATACCATGACCGTGCCGATGGTGCCCAGGCTCCATCTCCAGCACCAACATCTCTCCTAACATTTGCTAAGTGTCTACTTATCATATCCCTTACCTTGCAGCTCTCTAGAAGAACAGCCATTTCAAGACACATGATGAGTATTTTAGACAACAAATAATCAGTTTCATCCCTGAGCTCCCTGAAGTCTCAAATACACTTCAGACAATCAATGATTCCTCTATGGGACTTTACATTTACAATAAATGTGAAGTTTTACTAATTATCTTATTCTTCTTTCATAAGTGCAGATTTAACTTTTGTGGAGCCTTAATCTTACATAATTTGGAAAGTCTGTTTAAGGAAAAGTTCAAAATTGTTATTATTATTATTATTTTTTGAGATGGAGTGTCACTGTCACTGAGGCTGGAGTGAAGTGGCGTGATCTCGGCTCACTACAACCTCCACCTTCCAGGTTCAAGTGATTCTTCTGCCTCAGCCTCCTGATTAGCTGGGGTTACGGGTGTGCATCACCACGCCTGGCTAATGTGTGTGTGTGTGTGTATGTGTATTTTTAGTAGAAACAGGGTTTCACCATATTGGCCAGGCTGGTCTTGAACTCCTGACCTCAAGTGATCCTTCCACCTTAGCCTCCCAAAGTGCTGGGATTACAGCCATGAGGCACTGCACCTGGTCAGGAAGAGTACAAAATTATGAATACGAAGTTCCTAGGACCCCTTTCAGGCCTTATAAAAGTCCCCGACTTTCATGTTTCAGTAGTATCTAAATTTGCTTTGATTATCAAAACTTCTGAAAGAATAATACTATCTTATATGCACAAAGAACTTCACATAAAGTTTCAAGTATTTCATACGTGTGCGCAGAATCTCAATCAAGATTTGCATTTTTGATACCACAGTGTATCAGTAAATGTTTGTTAACTGAATTAACTGACTTTTATGTAATTTTAAATCTTACAGGTTTGATGTTTGGATAAGCTCAAACTGATCATGTGCCTACATCTATTTATGCAAATGGACAAATATTTTGCTGGCAATGGCTCATCTCCAGTTGCTCCAAAAGCTTTGTCTCATTAGCCATGATGAATATTAGCCATGACTAGCTGCTTGAAAGGGAAGTTTTGTTTGAATAAGACACACTGCTGTAACATCCCCACCTCCCCTCAGAATCTAAAAGTACTTCTCAAAGTGCTTGATTCTAAAGCAGCTTCCATCTCAGCTTGACCACACTCAGTCACCTTAGTCAGTCTACCCCTCAGTCAACTTACTTCCCATTCCCTTAACTATCTTCCAATAGGACTTCTTCCCTAATCCTTAGTTATAATAATACATTTAGAATTTATCTTTCACTATCTTAAACTTACTTACTAAACTGTTTTGGCTGAAGCTGCTCTTCACTCGTCATCTATCAAGAACTGAGATCCACAGATTTGCAATAAACCCTGCAGATATGACCACCAACACCAACACTCAATAGTTAATGCTGCCTCCCTTAAAAAGCCATGTGCCTCTGTAGGAATTAAGTCTATCTTTTGTCAGAGACATACTGTCAAGTTTTTAGCTCAATGAATTAATACTATGGAGAGGAATCTAGCTTCAGAGTGCAATGCAGGGCTGTCAGTCAGAAATAATACTTATAATTAATAATAACTAAGGCTTGATCATTACTGATAGAAATTACCTCAGAAGAAGAGAGGCAGGGTAGGAGAACTGGGGAGATGTGGGTCAAAAGATACAAGATTTCAGCTGAACAGTAGAATCAGTTCAAGAGATCTATTGCAATACAATATGTTGACTGTGGTTAGTAACAACGTATTGTATTTTTGAAAACTGCTAAGAGAATAGATTTTAAGTGTCTCACCAAAAAATGGTATGTGAGGTAATGCATGTTAATTAACTTGATTTTGTCATTTCTTAGTGTATACATGTTTCAAATCAACATATTACACATGATAAATATATACAAATTTTTGTTGGTCAATTAAAAACATAATTTTAAAGAATAGGTGAAGGCATATGAGAAAAGGCATTTGAAATTGGAGTCCAAACTTTTTTTTTAGGAAAGCAAACAAGCAACAAACTGAACTTAGTCCAACAAACATCTGCTCCCATTCTTGGGCTTACCCCCAGGTTGAACTTGACACTCAGGCTAATCTGAAAACATTTGCTTTAAAAGACAGGAGGGAAGAAGGGCAGGCTTCCCAGAGCTTGACTACTAACCTGGCTTAATGTCTCTTCAATGTTTCTAAAACAAAGATGATAAAAAGTAATATAGCAGAATAAATATTTTTAGTTATTAACTGACTAATAGAGCATGCTCTAGCTGTTAATTTCATCACAAGTTCTTTAACACTTTAAAATTCAAAGATTCATGAAAAAGCTTTTATTCTTTGGCTTCTTAAACTTCTTTAAGTACAACTTAAACTATCATTATCAGATCAGCAAAGTTCATTTTTTGTCATGAGAGACAGAAATATTAAACCTTTCCAATCAAAACACAGAGACTAAAATTAGTGTAAAATGTACACAAAATGTTAACCCCTTCACCAACAGCATTGATTTGCTCATATGCATATTAGAACTCAACAGCTAATCATGATCATTAAGTGATCTTCCTATTTACGTTGTAATTTTGAATATTTTCTCTTCACTTATAACTTTATAAAATTTGATGACTTTGTTTATATATTTTTTCAATGTACAGAGCATATTATTCAGCTAAATATCTATTAAGTGTAATCAACATTAGTGTTTCTCAGCTAATTCCAGTTGGAGATTTAGTCTTTTAAGTTAGGTTGCTTTATAAAGTGGATTGCTAAATGTAGGTACAGTAATTTGAGGGAAATGCATGTTGTCTACAGGTACCTGATCACAATAATCTTATTTTAATTTTTAAGAAAATCCTATAAACTTTACATTGATTATCTCCAAGGCTAATAAATACAAATACCTTAATCAAGAGAGGTTCATTCTGACAAACTGCGCTGGCATCCTGGAGAGCTTGCTCATAGTTCTTCATAATCAAATATAACTCTGCCCGCAGCAGCAATAATGAATTATCATCAGGAACTGAAAGACAGGAGGAATACAAATCAATAAAAATGACTGCATTTAAAAACAAGTAATCTTTATGTCATTACATATACATATATATATATGTATAAAGTATAAATGCAATACAATAGAAAATAAGTATAAAGAATAAATAAGAATTTTTTCTTTAGAGTTTAGTTGTTTGATAAGTATACTTTAGATAGTGCCTCTCAGGAAAACAGGAAGAAGATAACAAGGCTTCAAAATGCATCAAGAAAAACAGACTGCCACGGAGTACTCCTACACACACACAAGCTACAACATCATCTCCAATAATAAATTCAGCAACTGCTGAATCCTCTTACTGCTATAACTAGGTATTTTTAAAAGAGATTTAAAATAACTTTTGTGAAAGTATGCAAGGAAATTCATGTTTAAGAAACAGAAAAGTAAAACACAATTTTCTTTCTTTTTTTTTTTTGAGGTAAAGTCTCGCTCTCATGTCCAGGCTGGAATGCAGTGGCACAGTCTTGGCTCACTGCAACCTCCGCCTCCCAGGTTCAAGCTATTCTCCTGCTTCAGTCTCCTGAGTAGCTGGGATTATAGGTGTGTGCCACCACACCCGGCTAATTTTATGTATTCTTAATAGAGAGATAGTTTCACCATGTTGGCCAGGCTGGTCTCAAACTCCTGACTTCAGGTCATCCATTTGCTTTGGCCTCCCAAAGTGCTGGGATTACAGGCGTGAGCCAACACACCTGGACCATAATTTGTCTTTCTACACAATTTGGTAGATGTTGATTTGTCCCCATAATAGTACCTAGCATATATTCTCTTAAGGGGAGAAAAAAAAATCCTTTTTCTCCATTCCTCAACAGCAGAGGTCCTGATAATGACTCACATGCTGCTACGGACATAAGTCCACCTACACAAAGGCCAAGATTGGTTCTCTCTTTGAGCTGACTTGTAGTCTATGAAGTATTGACTTGGTAGGGTCCTATGGAAAAGGCAGGACACCAGACCTCAGGAAGGCAGAAGTATCACAGCCATTTCCCACACTGCAGGGCCTAGCTTACTCTACCTATAGCCATCTATGATCCTCGTAGGAGGGCTACAGCTATGCATTTTAGTTCATCAACAAATTTTCTGAGCTCTTAAGATGTGTTCTCATCCCTCTACCTCATATATGTTAACAGTTTCCTCCAAATCCTTCACCTTGATTCTTTTTCAAACTACCCACTTGGTCATTTCCAAACTAGTAGTCTCCTTTTAGTTTATGTAGGTAACTGAGCAAGTGTGCACCAAAGAACTTATGCACAAAGATATTACATCAAGACATGATGAGCAGTAACTACTTATGAATGTGTCATCACCACATATGTGTAACACAGAGAAGGTACAACAAGAAAAAAGCAGAAGGGGAAAGAAACAACAAGAATGAAACAATACAATTTGAATTATTAAAAGAGACATTGCTGGGTATGAACAACTGGCTTCAGCAGGCGGCAGAAACTTTTTTTCTGTAACAGACCAGATAGTAAATATTTTAGGTTTTGCAGACAAAGAGGCAAACTGAAGGATATTATATAGACACTTGTTTAACAAGAAAGAAAACAAATTTTGACAGATTTCTTATTGATGCAATTTAAAATATGGTAACAGTAACAATTTAAGTATTTTTTGTAATACAGATCAACTAATGAGAAGAATGGAATTCTTGTTTGGGAAATAACATTTTTCTTAATTAAGTTTCCAAGTTATTGTTTCCTATCATCAAAACAACTGAAAATGTTCATCTGTTAATATGATCTAACATGAGATTTTATGTATTTCATCTTTGAAAATGCGTATAGTAACTGTGAAATGCTGGCATCAATTCATATGATGTTAAATTCAGCATTTTAATTGCCGGGAAGTCATTATAGAATTCAATTAGATTCTCCTCACGGTATCTGCCTTTTTAGCATGTTATTGGATTATTTCCAACTAAAAGATTGGTGAAAGTGCCTCAATCGCACAGTTAAATGCATTTTGAAATATATAATTCTCCTTTCGATATTTTTGGAAATCTAAAAAAAAAAAAAAAAAGTCCTCCTGGAACTATAGGTTTTTAGGCTTGGGAACTATGCCTGCTGCAAATCTGTGTGAGAATGGAGATCTCATATCCTGTTTCCACTTGGCTAAAGTTTATTAGTTCAATCTGCCAGTGAATTCTCTTGAATGTTTTAAACAAGAATGTCATGTGCAATTCGCTCTTTTTCATTCTAGTATTTACATATTGTGCCTCCTATTTCCTCACACTCTCATACTGCAATAATAGTGATAGCATGTTCTCTTATTCTTGAACTTAAAAAGCATGTGTCTAATGTTTAAATATAAAATCTGTTTGTTGTAAGTTTCTGAGAGAAAATATTTATCAAGTTAGGTGATTTCTCTCCTATTCCAAGTTTTCAATAAGGACTTTATAACAAGTGTAGGTGTTGAATTTTACAGACTGCTTTCAGCATCTGAGAGATTACATATAGTCTATCTCTTTCAACCTGCTGCAGTGAATTACTCTGAAAGATTTGTCTAGTACTGAATTATCCTTATGGTCCTAGTATAAGCTCTTCTTGAGCTTAACTCTTATTACACTGCTGGACTCAAAACACTAAGAAATTTAATTAGGATTTTGACATGTATATACATATGTAAGACTGGCCTATATATTTTTTCCTTGTGCAAGCTTTACCTGATTGTGGGGTCAAGATTATACTAACCTTATTACACGAGATGAAAATCTTCCCACATTTTTCTATAATCTGAAATAAGATAGAAATTAATCATTGAAAGCTGTAAGGACTTGCTTGACCTTAGTGCCTTTTCAGCAGCAGAGAATCCCTGAGGAGCATTTCAATTCTTTAACTGGTTCATATCAGGCTTTTACTTTCTCATGGATAAATTTTGATAATTTGTATTTTCCTTAAAATTGTCTTTTTATATAAGTTTTTAAATCTTATTTTAAAATATCCTTTTATATCTACAATTATTCTTCTTTATTCCTGATGGTATTTATGCTTTGCTTTTTTCTTCAACATATTTGTCAAATATTTGTTCCTTATGGTCTTTGTAATGAACCAGTTTTTGACCTGTTAACTGATTTTTTTCTGTTTTGCTAATATCTTGTTCATTATTCCTTTGCTTATACTATCTTTGTTAGCTTAACTAATCTTCATAAAGTTTCCAGTGTTAAAAATACATTTCACTTTCATTTATTTTAAATCATTCTTTTCTAATGAATGCATTTAAGTCTCTACTCCTTACAGTCCAAAGGCTGCTTTAACTGAAGTCCAAATTTCATAAAATTCACTTCCCTGCTGGGTGCGGCGGCTCACACCTGTAATCCCAGCATTCTGGGAAGTTGAGGAGGGTGGATCACCTGAGCTAAGGAGTTTGCAACCAGCCTGGGCAACATGGTGAATCCCAGTCTCCACTAAAATACAAAAAGTTACCTGGGTATAATGCTATGTGTCTATAATTCCAGCTACTGGGGAGGCTGAGGCAGGAGAACTGTTTGAACCCGGGAGGTGGAGGTTGCAGTAAGCCGAGATTGTGCCACTGCACTCCAGCCTGGGTGACAAAGTGAGACTCCTTCTCAAAAAAAAAAAAAAAAAAAAAAAAAAAACCGGAAAAAATTCACTTTCCATCTATACTTGATCTTAGCCAAAAGGCCAAGAAGCAGTCACTTCTCAACTAGACACTGAATGAATCAAACTGTCTCTTTGTGGACTTCTACCATTTGGTGATACATTTATGAGGTCAGCACTTCACAATTTAGTCTTTTAAAATACGTAAAATAAATGCCTACACATTTTCTAAGCATTAAACCTTAGGCGTAACAAAGCTAAAGGAATTATTCAAGGGCCACTCAAAAATAAGTGGAAGAGGAAGTGCAAATTAAAAGTCTTCGTGTAGAGAAAACATGGAAGAAAAATGTACATATGTACTTTCCAAAGAAATGACATAAAATTTCAGTAGGTTTGCCAATTGACCCCTCTAAGGGGAAAAGTCACAAGAGAGCAGCCTAAGACCCAGGCTTTGCAAGGAAAAGAAGCGATATGTACCACGTTTGTGTTTAGGGTTGATCAAAGGCTGTTTTCCAACTGTAACCCAGAGCCCCTGTTGTACTAGGAGCTAGGGTTACTGCTATAAAATCTGTCAAATGTGTGCGGTGCTGAGAAATGGAGAACTGTATGTTATTTTAAATTAGTTAAATGAGCTGGGTGTGGTGGCTCACATCTGTAATTTCCAACACTTTGGGAGGCCAAACTGGGCGGATCACTTGAGGTCAGAAGTTTGAGAACAGCCTGGCCAACATGGCAAGACCCTATCTCTACTAAAAGTAAAAAATTAGCCAGGTGTGGTGCCACGTGCCTGTAATTGCAGCTACTCAGGAGGCTGAGGCACAAGAATCATTTGAACCTGGGAAGAAGAGGTTGCAGTGAGCCAAGATTGTGCTACTGCACTCCAGCCTGGGCAACAGAGTGAGACCCTGTTTCAAATAACAAACAAACAAACAAGTTAAATGAACAGACACAGAAAGCAATAAAAACTGAGTAGTGTTCCCTGTGGATAGAAAGAATGAATGGCAATACTTCTCATAGCCTATTTATTCAAACTGATGAGAGACTTACCAAGTCAAGTCCACAAATCTTAGGTATACATCTTGAACCTTTACATACACACCCAGGCAATCACCATGCAGATCATTCCCAGGGCTTAGGAAGGTTCCCTTGAGCACTATCCTACTTAGTGTGCCCCTGCTAAAGGGAACCACCATTCTCACCTCTATCACTATTGATTCATTTTTCCTGTTTCCTAACTTCTATACATGGATATTTATAGATGGACTGTACATTTTTGTATCTGACTTCTCATTAAATTATCATTCTGTGAGATTCATTCATATTGTTATATCTCAGTAATATTTTAAATAAAATTTAAAAATTGTGTAATATTACACTGTATGACTTATTTACTCATTGTACTAGTGATGA